CTATTTATTTTATCATTGCTTACGAGGTTTCTGTCCTTGTGAATATGATAAATAATAATTACTCCCCCCTCCCTCTCTCTCTCTCTCTCTCTCTCTCTCTCTCTCTCTCTCTCTCGTTCTTGTCCTATCTTTCGTTTTCTCTTTCTCTTTAATTGTCTCATATTGTATGAATAGAATTAGTTGTACCATTTTATGATGTTTGTTGTAGTAGTCAATAGTAGTAGAACAAAAAAAGACTTTTTATTTTATGATAAAAAACATTTAAAAAATTAACTATTTTGTTTTGAACTAAAGTATAAGATTTTAAATTTAATTACAATATTAACTAATATACAATATTAATTATACTTTATAAAAAAATCATGATACTATAACATTGATGTTTCCGACTAATTATTACATATAGTTACATATAGTTATTTATCATTATATCTAATATATTTTTAATTATCGTAACTTCCACTTTTCAATAAAATTAATGTTTTATTAAAATATTTTATTAAATTATTTTCTTTCTATTAAAATTTTTTTATTTTAACTATATTTTAACATACAAATATATTCCAATTTAATTATTTAACATTTTTACAACATTAAAATGTTGTAATAATTCTATGAAATGTTTCAAAATTAACATACGCGATCAATTTATTATCATCATTCTTTAAATGACAGACAAAAATATAATTTCGTAAATTTTTTTATGACAAAACATACTTTATATACCATAGGTATATCTCTTTTTTTTATTAAAGAAAAAATTCACATCTCTCTTCGTACTTTGATAATTGTAAGAGAAATCAAATTATCCGCCGCGTGACTAACGTCATTAAAGAGATGTATTACTTTAATCAGTGAATTGTTAAAGCGACTATTACGTCAATGCGATTAATTAATCACTATAAATTTGCGTTGGTTTTACATTTATCATTTAAAATAATTGCTTATTTTTACAAAGTGCTATTAATTATTATATCAAACGTCATTATCTGTTGGTGAAAATTTTATTCGTCGCTAATCTAATGGGACAGGGACTCCAATATATAATTTTATAAATAGTAAATGTTAAATTTATCTATAATTCTAATATGAATTTATTATACTGTACATATAGTGCTAAAATAAGAAACCTATAAATAAAATGTTAAATAGTTTATATATCAATAATATAATTTTATATAAATATATTTTTCACTATAAATAAAACTGTATGTTAAAAATTTGCGATCTTGCAAACATTGAAGAATCTTGCAGACCCCCTCAGACTGAGGCAAACTATAAAAGGAGATTAGCACAATTCAGCATAAAATTATTAAATCGGTCATTAATGTCGATCGATATGATAACCGATGGACGAACATTTAACAACACAACAAATTAGTACTTATTTCAGCATATATTAATAGCAATTTCTTAATTTTACCAGTATATGCTGACGATAATATATTCGTTTTTAACCATTCAGCCGATTGCAAAATCACAATGTATCGTTGACCTCTCCGTCGCTGCCTTCCGCAGATAAATTCTAAATCTCGTATCTCACGAGACGTATGACGTCTAACGAATGACGATATTCAGGAAATTCGATTTCGACAAACCATAAACAGATTATGTCCACGAAGTTCAGAAAAATAAAGAAGGAATGTTGCAAAATCTTAATTACAATCTTTAATTATTTGACATACACAGTTCTTTTCATTATTATTCACCTAGGATTCAAAGCCTTCGAGGTCCTAAGATTCCTTTTTATAGAATAAAAATTTATATAAACACATTAAAACAATATGAGGACGCATTTTTAAATACATTTTATATATAACATTATATATTTTATATTAATTACGTTTTATAATATAATAGTATTGTACAAAATACAGATTATATATATATATATATATATATATATATATATATATATATATATATATATATAATAGCATATGTCTCTGTATCACTTAGGGCCGGTTTCTTTGAGAAAAGCGACGGTACGTTCCTATTGAATCTACCTTTTGGTCAATAAAATTACTTACTTATTCGCTACCATAGACAGCGATCGATCTTCTTCTACGTTACGTATTATTTACTAACGTAATGTCAATCGAATGTTGATCTACATTAAACTTTTCTTTCAGATTATAATATTTGTTTAAGACTTTCTTCATTCTGCTGTATCTGTGTCAAAAGATCTTTACAGAAATTTTATTTACTGACAATGAGTTTGAAATCAAGAAAAAAAAATCTCGTACGATGAGTTTAAGTATAAAATCTGTTTACATATGCAGATAGAGCGTAAGTGATAAAAGATATCGCGCTAATTAGTTACTGATTGTGAGTGTTACTACTGACACAGGTAACACACGTGAGAAAATCCGAATTTTATAAGCGACACAATGTGTGTCGATAAACATCCATTTAATTATAGATAAGCTCCGTATATCGATGGTGAACAGTTTAGCTTTTCAACGTTCGGAAAAATATACAAACATAAATATTTAACACAAGAGACATACTAATTCCATTAGACAACGCTTAGATAATTTTAGGGTAAACAATAATGAGTGAACAGGACCATGTGAATCTTACAATTAATTAGAGAATATGCCATTTTTAATCGGGCTGGATTTTGGTAACCTAGTAATAATATTTTTGTGTAAATTTTTTCCAACTCAGTAAACTGCGCGCCGATTATTTGTTAATCTTAAAATATTTTTTGTTGGAATATGACATAATCAATAATCGATTTAACTTTGATGCTAATAAGCATTCTTTTTAAATTACTGTAAAGAATTTATTGCGAAAAATAACCCCAGTGGTCAAACCTGGATCTCCCTATAATTTGTAATGGCCATCTTTACTAATTCGATCACTGAGCTATGTAAATTAAAAAAAGTTGATAAATTAAATTGACTGCAAACTGTAATTAACTCCAATTGTATTTCTTGTAGTCTTTTCAATCAGAAACTAATCTCATAATCGTAGCTTGATAAAATTTAAAGAATCAAGAAATGATTGAAGTTCAAAAACATACTTCAACGATAAGCCGTAAGTTAACGATAACGTAAAGTAAATTAACGTATAGCAAAATCAAATATCATTTTATCGAAATGCCATGTTGATAAGGCACTGAGCAAACATTTATTTTGTTTCATGTGAGAAGAAAATCGATATACCTTTAAATCTTATATTCTGCTTTTGATTTTTAAAATTACATAGATTATAATTGTATAGCAAAAACTAACTTCCAAAAAATAAACTAATTTCCTAAACTACCTATAAAAAATAACTTTCTAAACTAAATGAGTCCAGAAATAACTTTCGGAATTTAATTATTTTTTTAAGATCAAAATCGTAAATAGAACAACATAATTTTTAACAATAAAGTTTGTAATTATTATAAAAATACTAGGAGATGACGATTTTGATTTCACAATCATAAAATAAAATCACTAAAAAATAATAATTACTAACTTTGACATACAAAATTTTTATTTGTATTACTTCGTGTTGTGCTTTAGAGTACACTAGTACAGCAATGACAAGGACTGCAACAGTACAGCGAATCTGCGTTGATAACAATTTTTAAAAAATAAACTGCATCGTCACTTGCACAGCGTTTCGCACATTTTTATTTATGTCACGTTACGTTACGAATTTACGAGGTCGCACGATAAAGTATGGAGGCGGGCAAAGCGTTCCACTGACCTACACTTGCCATCAGTCAATGGTCCTTATATAGATCATTCATTTAAGGACTTAACCCCTTTCGAATATATCTATTTGCGGAAATCAAATATATTTGCAGGCCGCGTTTCGCGAGGCTGACATGACAGCAGGAGAGATCGATGTCTTTATGCAGAACGCCCGCGAAACAAAATTTTTTGTTACAGAGCTTTGTTTATGTCACATGCTGACGTCTTTGCAAAAATGTGTGCGCCAATGCATGCGCGGATCTTATATCCACTGCAAAAATAGCAACCAACTGCAGTCTGGTTATAATCGATATTTCGATCGTTCGATGTAACGCGGGATATTTATTGAAATATAAGAAAACTGACATTTTTCTACATACATATATATCCACTCATGAAATAAAAATAAAAAAATTTATAAATGCTTAAACAAAATTACTTGAAATATTATAAATATACATATACATAATCTATACATATATATAACGTTATACTTTTAAAAAATGTAGAAATTTATTTCACAATTAAAAAAATTAAATTTTAATAAAAATTAATTAAGTTATTTTAAAATATTTTCCGAGCATTTTTAGGAGAGCGTATTATTTTCCTAGATTTAAGATTTAAAATAAAATTTTGTGATCTCTCTCTCTCTCTCTCCCCCCCCCTCCCTTTCATAGACTAGTGGAATTTCTGATTTTAATTGTGCGGCAGGTTTCGTAGGTATGTTTTCAGATGAAGAGCTTCACGCTGGGCGTCACAGTCGGTGGACCAAATTGAAAAGAAGCCGTGAAGTCAATCAAGAGTGTCAATTACGACTTGAAAGGAAGACGCTCATGCGTTTAAGGAATTTTAGGTGCACATACTCCTTGGTCTTCAATAGATATCGATATCTATATCGAAATAATGTGGAACATTCTATAATGCTGTTACGAGAGTTTTCCCGTTATTTTAATATCATATAAAATTTCTAAATGTTTTTAAAAATTATCTTACACTACATGAATAAAGCGGATTTTATTGAGGTTCATTGATGCTTTGTAAAGCCCTACAACGTTTATATTTGCACTATGTCTACTTTATTGATCGGAAGTTATGTCAAAGTAAAGACATCTGTATTGCCGAGATGTAATTCATTCATATCCCTTTTATTTTTTATTTTTTATGGACAGGCAACTACTATATATGAAAAATTTTACTCGACAAAAATTACATCATCTCGCGCTTCTCCTAAAAATTGTCAATACAAAATAATATAATATTACTAATCAGAAGATCGTTTAATTTATTTTATCGAAACACTAGATCGCGAAAAACAAGATCAATCGGGTTTCCATTGCGGATGTCGCCTTATAAAATTCTATTTTATATATCGAAGTCTGTTTCGTTAATTCTTAATATAATATAAAATATTACTGTGGGAGCAACGGTCCGTTATACCGTGCCAAGTTTCCGGAACGTACTATTTGTTGCTTCTCAGGGTCGAACGAACAATGACAGTATCATGCCAACTATTTCCGGCACACCGTCACCAAGGGCATTCTGTAAAAGTCCTCACTGCCAAGGAACCCATTTCCTTTGTTTTATTCGTATAAATTAAGTTAAAGAAAAATAAAGAGCAATTAAACTCTATACGTTAATATGCTTACTTATTTATTTTCACTTAGGCCTAGTTGCACCAACATCGCATAACTTTAACCTTACAAAGCTTAAGTTACTCTTCGTCTCTTTCTAAGGGGGACAGTTAGACAGTTCAGCTAAGGTTAAAGTTATCTGACGTTAATGTAACCGGACCGTAATATATTATACATAACTATTTGTTTTAATCTATAAGATATAAGATGATGTCTATAAAAGCATTTTTTTATACATAACTTATGTCATGTAACATAAGTAATGTAAGGAATACCTTTGAAACATCTATGTTATTAATATAATTCATATTACAATAATATTAACGATTTCAAAAAGCAAATTAAATTATAGTAACAGATCCGCAAAAGTCACGATTGGAAATATATCAAGTCTACAACTGTGCAAGAATATTAATAGCTTTATCAATTTTATGAGTCAATTTTAGATTATTGAATTATATTTTTTAAAAAGAATTTATCATTAAAAGTACGCAGATTAAAGATCAAAAGTCAATGAATGATGATACATACATCTCTCGATAAACGTACAATCAATTATTTATGAAAGAAAAATGTGTCATTTACTATGTTATAATCAAAATATACACTTCGCGCATGTTCGCCAAGTATATGTAATTTACAAGAATATTATAGTATGCCAATACAGCTGGAAAGCGCTTTTCCGCCGCAAGATGATGAATGCATCAATTCTTATATGTAACCAAACATTTTTATAATTTCCACAAGTATTTATAAGATTTATCACTGTCAACATATTTTATTTGTTATATTTTAATTTTTATAATTATTTTATTGTATTATATAAATATGTATTATAATTCTATATTTTTATAAAAAAAACACTTGATTGATATATTGATTCAAGATTCTATTGATTAAAAAATTTTTGTATATTCATAAATAAAATTGTGAACCATAATATCGAACGGACAGATTATAAAACGTCTTTATTACATCTTGTGATAATTATTGCGAAATAAAAGCATAATATAACACTGGCTATTTTTTGTAAGCTCAATCGAACGCTAATGATAGAAGCTTAAACGTTTAGAGAATGCAATCATGTTGCCAAGTGTGATTTTTATTGATAGACATACTCTCTCTTTTTATAAGTCTAAGTCTTATACACTTGTGTAAGGTGGTACTAAGGACGTACCAATTCGGCTTCCAAGAATTCTATACGTTTATTCATTTTTAACATGCAATTTATTTTCCGCGAATTTCCCTTCTTGTAATCTTAAAAAATTTTACAATACCTACTTTAATTCGTTGTCCAACTAGATTCTCAGAATGTTTGCATTCTTGTTTCCGCGGGAGCTAAGACTGGACCAAGGTCAAGTCTCTTATTATCAAATTATTCAAAGAATTATTCGCGAATGAAGTTTGCATAAAAATCCTTAACTATTTCAATGCGCAGCGAAAAATTATATCGATCATTTTATTAAGATTTTTATTCCTTTTTATGAAAAAAATAGATCTCAATGTTTTTATACGTTTATAGCTTTATAGAAATACGTTACTTGGACATCGTAAGTTTTTAATTTAACGCTTAATTAACTAAATCCATTACAGAATACACAGGCCGACCCCAATTTATTTGTATAGTGCATAGTACGCCGAGTAAAAGAAAGGAAATTTTTTTACACGAAAAAAAGTGTGCAACGCTTTTTTCGCGGAGGCGATAAAGTATTTAAAATTTGTAGTGCTGGAAAATTTGATAATAAATGAAAAGAAGATACCTCGCCGAGACTTTCCTTCTCACTGCTGACGAATGGGGTTCATCCGCGGGGGTGACACTTAGCACTGAGCAGAGATACGAGCGTACTGCCAGATGCAGTTGGCAGTGCAGGCCAGGACAACGTGTGTATGATGTCAATGACGACGATGCACGTAGATATACGTGGTCCACGAAAATAGTGTCACGTGTAAGCGACAACCGAGCACCGGATGTGTGGATGTACGCGGGCACGACGACGGCGTGCACGACGACGAAGAGGTGCGTCATCCACTGGACGAAAGGGCAAGAGAAGAACGCAGGCCTACCCTTCTTTATACATCCCCACCCCACGTTCGAGCACGCGTTCGCGGTATGCACCACGTAAGTGCATCGGGCTGCATCTTTTAGATACGCTATATTCTTATTTTGTACGACTACAAGTCTATCACGTGGAGAATATTATTAGTTATATGATAAAAATGAGAAAGAGTTAAAATCTTGTGTCTGAAACGGAATTCAGATTTCTGACGATGCACATTATCAACAAGCGCGTAAATTAATCCAAAAAGATTTCTATCCTTTGGAGGAATAATGTGATAAATCATCAAAATAATTTAATCAAACCGCGCTAAATTATATTCTGCGTATTTTGTATTTATAACATCTGTGTATTTTGTATTTATAATTTTAATTGTTTAAGTTTATAATTTTAATTTTTTTTTTTATTAAGTATCTATAAAAAAGGATAATTGTTTCTTTGGAGTAAAATTAATGAGCGCGGCTTGCAACGCGTAGGAAGGTATGAACGATGCCAGTTGATGACAAATCAACGCTCATACAACACTCGCTAATTTACTAATGCAACGACCCAACACTAATCGCTGGCTAAACGCCCGCAACTTGTTTGCTCTTTGACAACAGCGTTGAATTATTAGGCAATGGAATAGATGCAATGGAAAATTTATCATCCGAAACAAAAAAAATAGTAAGCAGTAATCGCTCTAAATTTTTGCTAACGTAAAGCTTTTGATAGTATCTTGGCACCAGAAATGAATATTTTAAGTTCCAGTCAAATCTTAAGCTCACTTTAACAGATATACAATTCACGCCAGATTTTAAGATAGAATTCTATTTATAATTTTAGACGCTATATATTTTGAATTTTGACGTATGTATGTATTTTAGTTGATATTTTACATGTGCTGTATTCTGATTCTTCAAATGTCTTTCGTATACTGCAGGCATATAAAATTAATTACGTACAGAATTTGATCTTGAACCTTAAATAGACTTCAGTTAACATTTTGTACCCAAGAATCTCAAATATTACAAATTTGCAAACCATTTATATGTCTTTGTCTTTTTCGATCTTAGGTTTTGGATTTTATAACTCCTCTCGATCACAGATCTGTGATATTGTAGGACTTTGCTATCATGTCGAAATTAAGAAATATTTATATATGATATTATGAAATTCCAATATTTAATAAAATTGATTTTCTAAATCAATTTTATTGTAATCCTCAAGTTACAACTTCTTCACAAAGTCTTAACGTTTTTGTTATCTTAAAATCTTGAACTTTAAGTTTGCGAGCTCTTTTGATTCTCCGAATCTTTGATCTGCTGATTCTTGGATTTACGGATTCTCGGTGCTGCAGAATCCTAGGCCGGTTTTCATAGTCGAATCTTATATTTAAGACCATCTTAAGTACGATCTTAAGATGTTATGAACCAATCACAGACCCGTATTAGCATCTTAAGACATTACTTAAGACGGTCTTAAAATAAGAACCGACTATGAATACCGGCCCTAATCTCATTTTCCTCGGATTTGCGAATGTACGATTCCACAAATTCATGGATTCGTCAGATCCCGATAATTATACTGCAAGTTTCACATAGAATCGAGCGTAGGACTTTGGAAATTCTCGATATTACAATCTTGTGGATGTAGATCTTTGATATCGCAAATCTATCATCCGATAAATTGATTAAGATATTTATTCTCTAATACGAGGATTATGTTTTATCTTTAATCCACGGGTGTTGTCCGAATTATACACTAATCTCGCATTAGACAAATCTCTCTGGGCGGATAAGATCAGCGTGCGCCAATTGCGTGAGTGACGACAACCCTTCCGTTCATTCGCATTTTGGGAATATGACGTTGCCGCGTCACGTGGCAGCCGATTATTATGTTTGTACACGACAAACGTCCTGCACCGCACGCAGTGACACATAACATGAGTGGGAGTGACGACAATCGATTGTGCGACTGACGTTACATCGCCATGGTGACACGCGAAAACAAATACCTGCGATCGCATAGACTCATAGACACGCTGACCCCCACAGTAAGCCGTACGAGTTCAGTGTGTCACGTATACGACAGAAAAGGACCGAGAGCTCCATCCCTCGACCTGCACGAAGAAAGTGGCGAAAGTGCTCACTAACGGCTAATTCGCAGGTATCAAAAAGCTCGAGGTCGCTCGTATGCGCCAATTTGGCACGCGTCCAGATTAAATTAGCCCAAATAACTCTCAATTTACACCTATAAACTTTGCGTCAATCGAAATTACGATCAATGACAAAACGGTTTACGATGCGACGAACCTTATATCTTTTCTTCATGTCAAAGATTCTAAAAAAATTAAAGATTTTTTTAATCTGAGATCTCTTAATTTTTCGTTGAATGTCAGAGGTTTACTAAAGATTATCCTATTTTAGCTGTCTATACAATTATTTTTGTTTAAATCTTTTTCTGTAGGTACGTAAAACCGAAATTTCGTAGATTTTAAATTCTTGGCTTTGGTTCTTAACCATTTAAATTGTACCTTTACGAAATTATTAAAATTCCCGAGCTTGCTGACGTTCGGGGGTTGATCCTCATCGCGTTCTTGAAGTTCGTGTAATCTCGGACTTTCTTCAATTCAATCGTCCTCGAGGCTACGAAAGGAGAAGTAGGGTGTGCACTGTGCACCTTTTTCAAGAATGTCGTAAAAAAGTTGTTTATTCGGCAATAATAGCCTTTTATCGATAAATTTATGCCAATGTTTCGTGTAACGCTACTCACTGGGACACATCGGCGCGACCCTCGTGTTACCTTGACCCAAACTCTACAGTTCAGTGTGTCACGTGCACGAAATGGATCGAAACCGAGTTCAGTATTCTTCTCTCCAGACGCGAGAGCTTTCTTCAACCCTCAACGGGAGTTTACATTTCTCAAACTCTTTCACGAATTAAAAATAACTTTTTTCTCTGTCCGAAATTTCTCTTATAATTTTCTTTCTTCGTGATAAATATTCAAATTATCTGTCGCAATTATAATACATTCTTTTTAAATTATTTTTCATAATTTCATTTCTTCATTCACAGGAACAATGTAGTTGCAACTGTAGAACAACACATGGAATCCGTCATTCAACGAGATAAAATAAAAATTATGATTTGTCAATAAATATGTCGTACATCATATTACAATCACGTAATTATAACGAGACAAATTTATTGATTCCACTTTATAATTAAATCTAATTACCGACCATATGTATACTTATTACGCTGTAATTAATTATTGGATTAATAAATATTGATTATTATTACCTTGTTTGTGTTATTTATGACTAATTATAATAACTAATATGAATCTTGAAAATTATATCATGTATACATAATAGCCAGGTATATTGTGAGTTTCAGCAAAATAAGATACACATATGAGCAAATACACATCAATCGGGCTTGCTTATTTACGGAAGTGCAATAATTATTATCTCCGTAATTATTTTACACGGCAGAGACAAATAGTATCATATTTTCCATCTTATTTGAAAAAAAAAAAACAGAACTCTGAACAACATATTTTCCACTGAAGCCAGTTAGATCGAAACCAATCAATTAATGGTATAAGCATGACCGAACCTCGTCACGAGAAAACAGAGTAAACATACGTGAATACAGATATACGCGGAAAAAAACACCGTTACCGGGCAATAAGTAGGCGAAACAAGGAGAACAGATATTATTGCACGTATGTACGCATTCATATGTTAATATGATCTCCGTAACGTCTTGTGCGATATGGTATTTTCTATGACATTAAATTTTTAAATTGGCTGTGCAAACCGCTGTCGACACGCTCATTGTCGTCCTATACATAATAACACATTAAGAAATTAACACTAAAAGATGTTTGTGAAGGAAAAACAATTTATGCCGGTTTTCTTTCACGGTTTTCCACATCCGTGTTCGTGTCGCGAGATGCTCTTGGTGTCACGCAACAATAAACAGTCACGGCGATATTTTCGTTATAGGATTGCTGCAGATGAAAATAAGTCGTTCTAATTATTTACATATCTGGGCGCGGCACTCGCGGGGCAGGCACACTCGCGGATTAAACTTCGCGACAGTGTATCTGGCGCATAAAGCTTTCATGAGATTCGACATTTTTCTATTCTCGCGATGTGGGTCAGTGTCGGCGGCGCGGCGCGGCGGGTGGTTCATTTACTTACGGCACGTTACAAAAGATCGCCCTTGTATCGTGCACGAATGACAGGACAGCTTATCAGGGAAATTAGCATTGCGGCATTCTTATCTAATACTTTATCTTCGTGGAAAAAAACGTATTATTTGCAAGTACAAAAGGTGCAATTTTAATACTAATTCCACTTTTGTTACGTTTCAAAAGGAATCTAGTTCGACGTTTGGCTGTATATGCACATATTTAACAGTTAAAAATTTAATATATTTAACCACGAAAGATGGGGTGTTTCGTGAGATATTTGGAAAATGATTTCAAGATTTATAAATAAAGAAGTTTTATTATATTTCTCGCGTTGTCTCATCGCGTGCATGATCAAGAAACTCAAAAATATCTAAAATATTACGTAAATATAACTATTAACAAATAATTTATTCATTACCGTATCCAATTCTTAACGAGGAAACATATACACGACATACATACATTACGACACATTATTAGTACGTGAAACGGAAAGAATAACGATCGGTGTGAAAGAAACGGTCACACCAATTTACTATTATGAACAATACAGCATGACATAAGACTGGCGCGCGCGTGCAAGTCTTAAACAAAAATTCGTAATTATCGTGGTTATTATTACATTCGTCTATTCTTCTTATCCATTTTGCGCACATTTTGATTCATATTCTGGTATAAGTTTCGCGAAAATTTTCTCAAAGGTACAAACATTTTATATTCAATGAATATTATATATGAATATTATATTATATAACAGCAAACTAAAACAGAATAATTTATAAATGTGAGTGGACATAACTTCTAAAATTTATTCCAACATAGAAGCAAAAAATTCTGATTTAAGATTTGACAGACCAGAGATGCGCGTTATTTACTTTCGTAACAATTTATGATATTTCATAATTATGCTGTATTATTGGTAAAATAATCTTGGCGGTTATATGACTATACTATATACAATATATATGTGTGTGTATATATATATATATA